CAAAGCCTTCATAGGATCTAATGGAACAAAATCACTCCCATTAGTTTAAAACTGACATAATTTTATACCATGCACCCAGGTAACGGGGCGAGAATTAACTTTAAACTTTAGCGTTACCAGTTGGGATCAAACTGGTTTCTCTGCTAGCAAATTATTTCATGAAGCACTGAACAGACTTTAATGAAGTTCTCATAAACCAATCATTGGACTGAAATCTACATTTGATGACATTTTGGGTTTAATCCCATTAAAGATGACCACTACAATTAATTGGCATTAGTGAATACAAAAGGTCAATGTTTCTTTATTGTCATACGCATCATATGTGGTGCATGTGGTGGAACGAAACTGTGTACACAGGGTCCCGGTTACATCCAACAATAAAATGTAAAAGAAAAACAGTAATAAGATCTAAGATATGAAAAAAAAAACCCCATCAACTAAAAATACACTAAGCACTCATAGCATAAAAACAATACGCCGAACAGCAGCACGAACATGAGTCTGTGTGAGCAGATGAGCACGAATGAACACAGCAACATGAAACAGATCAGCAGCAACATGAAACAGATCAGCAGCAACATGAAACAGATCAGCAGCAACATGATGTGATTCTTCACAGTGATTATTCTGGTTAGAGATTCATGAGTGTAACAGCCTTAGAATAGAAGCTGTTCCTCAGTCTAGTGGTTCTGCTGCTCCTCAACCTCATGCCTGAAGGGAGTGAGGCAAAAGTGTGTGTGCTGGGTGAGTGGGGTCCTTCATGATGCAGGTGGCCCTCTTCCTTCATCTGGAGGTGTAGATGTCTGTGATGGTGGGGAGACTGACTCCAACAGTCTTCTGTGCAGCCTTCACCAACTACTACTTACTTCTTGTACTCCTACTTTGCGGTTTTTCACTTATCGCAGGTGGACTGAGAATGGAAACCCCTGCAATAAATGAGGGGACTACTGTAACTCATCGTAGATCTGAAAATAAACACTCTCCTATATGTGTCATACAGTATATCCAGCTTCATATTACTGAAAGATCTCCCTTTGTTTCAGCCCCGTGTGGGGGTGACACTTTCTTTTGTCACAGCAACATGTGCATCAACCACACTCTTGTCTGCAATGGTATCCAGAACTGCGTCTACCCATGGGATGAGAATCGCTGCAAAGGTACGCAGACAGACAGCTGAGAAACAACAACCACACATGCTGTGTTTGCAATGCATGGCTGTTTTTGTTATTTCGTGCCGAATTATCATCTTTTTTTACTAGAGAAGAGAAAACCCAGCATCCTGGATACACTGGACAACACTAACCTGACAATCATTGGAATAACTTGTGGTCTGGTTGTCATTCTGCTCATCATATCTGTCATCATCCAGATCAAACAGCCTCGTAAAAAATACGTAATTCGCAGGTGAGACATTTTCAATTCACTCAGATTATTGTCATACTGCAAAGATATTGAGAATATGATGCTTTGCTTAACATTTAAAAATTATTTTTCATTATTTTTGTGCTTTTTTTGTCTGCTTAACAAACAAATAACAAATTCAACAAAAAATGACAACAAATAAAATTTGACTGTGTAAAAATAGTTGAATAACAGACCATCTGGTTCACAGTAAACTGGAAGTGGAAGAGATTGTCTAAACTTTATGTAAGTGTCATATTAGTCACTTGCCAATATTTTTTTGTTTATGCACAGTTTGGCTTTTTTGTGCCCCTACTGGAAATATTGGGAAAACTTTTCATCTTATTAAAGAAAAAACTTTAGCGTAGTTTCAATATAGCAACTTATGATAGAGTATTAGGGCCACACTAAGAAATTAAAATTACATTACGAGAAAAAAGTAATAAAATTACGAGAATAAAGTTGTAATATTACAAGAATAAAGCTGAAATATTATAAGAATAAAATCAGAATATTACGACAATAAAATCATAATTTCTGAGAATAAACTCGTAATACGTCCCGGGTCGGCTCACACCTGCTGTGGACAGCCTCCAATGAGAGTCACTGTGTTTATGAAATAGTCTGCAATCACTTTTAGATCACTGTTTGTGAAACATGCCTCCATCCACATTATGTGACAACTAAACCCATCAATGCAGCCATTAATTGTAATGCCATATGGCTTCAGTTTATCATAAGAATCAATATGCCACAGTGCGTTGGGCCCCATGCTATTGTGCTGCCAACATCAACATTCATCATTTTACCGCAGTTTACTGCTTTTTCATGTCAGAGTTCTCATAATATTTCGACTTTATTCTTGTAATATTATGACTTTAATCTTGAATTGTTTCTACTTTATTCTCATAATATTATAACTTTATTCTTGTATTGTTTCTACTTTATTCTCGTAGTATTACAACTTTATTCTCGTAATATTACGATTTTACTCACATAATAATATGACTTTATTCTTCTACAAACCGGATTCCAAAAAAGTTGGGACACTAAACAAATTATGAATAAAAACTGAATGCAATGATGTGGAGATGACAAATGTCAATATTTTATTCGTAATATAACACAGATGACAGATCAAAAGTTTAATCTGAGTAAATGTAACATTTTAAATGAAAAATATGTTGATTCAAAATTTCACAGTGTCAACAAATCCCAAAAAAGTTGGGACAAGTAGCAATAAGTGGCTGGAAAAAGGAAATTGAGCATAAAACGAACAGCTGGAAGACCAATTAACACTAATTAGGTCAATTGACAACATGATTAGGTATAAAAAGAGCTTCTCAGAGTGTCAGTGTCTCTCAGAAGCCAAGATGGTAAGAGGATCACCAATTCCACCATTGTTGTGCAGAAAGTTAGTGCAGCAATACCAGAATGGTGTTACCCAGCATAAAATAGCAAAGACTTTTAAGTTATCATCATCAACCGTGCATAAGATCATCAAAATATTCAGAGAATCTGAAACAATCGCTGTGCGTAAGGGTCAAGGCCATAAAACTCTACTGGATGCTCGTGATCTCCGGGCCCTTAAACGTCACTGCACCTCAAACAGGAATGCCACTGTCAAGGAAATAACAGAATGGGCTCAGAACTACTTCCAGAAAGCATTGTCAGTGAACACAATCCACCGTGCCATCCGCCGTTGCCAGCTGAAACTCTACAGTGCAAAGAGGAAGCCATTTCTAAGCAAGCTCCACAAGCTCAGACGTTTGCACTGGGCCAGGGATCTTTTAAAATGGAGTGCGGTAAAATGGAAGACTGTTCTGTGGTCAGATGAGTCACGATTTGAAGTTCTTTATGGAACACTGGGACGCCATATCATCCGGACCAGAGAGGACAAGGATAGCCCAAGTTGTTATCAATGCTCCGTTCAGAAGCCTGCATCACTGATGGTATGGGGTTGCATGAGTGCTTGTGGCATGGGCAGCTTGCATGTCTGGAAAGGCACCATTAATGCAGAGAACTATGTTCAGGTTCTAGAACAACATATGCTTCCATCTAAACGTCATCTCTTTCAGGGAAGACCCTGCATTTTTCAACACAATAATGCCAGACCACATTCTGCAGCAATCACAACATCATGGCTACGTAGGAGAAGGATCCGGGTACTGAAATGTCCAGTCTGCAGTCCAGATCTTTCACCTATAGAGAACATTTGGCGCATCATAAAGAGGAAGGTGCGACAAAGAAGGCCCAAGACGACTGAACAGTTAGAGGCCTGTATTAGACATGAATGGGAGAGCATTCCTATTTCTAAACTTGAGAAACTGGTCTCCTCTGTCCCCAGACGTCTGTTGAGTGTTGTAAGAAGAAGGGGGGATGCCACACAGTGGTAAAGATGGACTTGTCCCAACTTTTTGGGGATTTGTTGACGCCATGAAATTTGGAAACAACAGATTTTTCCCTTAAAATGATACATTCTCTCAGTTTAAACTTTTGATCTGTGATTTGTGTTCTATTCTGAATAAAATATTAGATGTTGGCACCTTCACATCATTGCATTCAGTTTTTATTCACAATTTGTTTAGTGTCCCAACTTTTTTGGAATCCGGTTTGTACTTTATTTCCTGATGCATGCTCAATAATCCAGGTAGAAAAATATAAAAAAGTTAAGTCTGGTCGGCTGGACATTCACAAAACAAAACAAAGCAAAAAAAATAAAAATGTAGAAACAGTTCATCTTTCATCCAAAATACTTCTTCAGTCTGAGGTGCTGTATTCAGCTCAGTCTTATAAATAGCACCTTCTCATAGTGGATCAACCATTTTGCTGCTGACAGCCCAAACCAGCTGCTAACATGATCAAGAAGTTATCATCAGCATAACGATAGATCATTAGCACCCTGATGGCTATTTGCTATTCACAGGTTGCTGAGTGATACTAGCAATAACAGCATTGTAGCGTTGTAGCATGTTCTAGAATTGCGCCGCTCAAGGTGGCTGCATGTTGGAGCAGCTCTGTTACTTTCATTCTGGGATTTTGCTTTTGGAAACTTTAATTCCTCTTTTGCTGAATGCAAAGCACATTTTTTGGATGATTGTTTCCTCTGGTATCAGATGCTGTGCAGCTCAAAGGATTTTTACTGAAACTTTTTTAGTTTTGGACATTTGTTATGATGCGTAACCATGGCAACAAGACAGTTTTCTACAACCAACAGCAGCTGTTGTTGTTGCTCAAATAATATCTCAACTACAGCCCCAAATCTCAAATAAGTTGAAAAGGATGTTCTGTGGATGCATTCTCATCTACCTGCCAGCTGTGCTCGAGTGACTGACCACTGAGATCCTGGAACTAACAGGAAACACGGCTCATGACAGCATAAGGACAAGGTCATTCCTCGGCACCTACAGTTGGCTGTCCACAGCGACGAGGAGCTCAGCAGACTGCTGGAAGTAGTGGCCATCGCTCTGGGAGGAGTTCTGCCTGGCATTCAGGTGGTCCTACAGCCTGGGGGAACTGAGAGGCCAGCCGAGTCTGGGTGGACGGATATGAGGGAATTTGCAGCTAGATTCTTAGGATCCACTGTCAGATGGACCTTTACAAGAGATCCTTCCTGTCTACAGCCATTAGTATTGTAGTGAACTAAGCCTCAGGTCAAATCCTGACCCTGAGGGCCTTCCTGGAAAAGGAACTGTTATTTCATTGATTTTTTGAGTCCAGAAACACAAATTAAGCTCATCCAGAGACTTTCTAAGTGTCCTGCACTGATCAATTGAAAGAACACTCTCTTTCATATTATCGTTACTATTTTACAAATGTCTTGATAATCAAAAGTGTGTTTAGTTCAAACCATTTTAAATGTTGAAGTGAACTACTCATTTTAAATCAACTGTGAAACAGTATAAATGATTTTTAATCCTCATTCAAAGTAGAAATCAATCTAATGTTTGTTACAAGAGTAATTATGCATTTTTTGATCTTCTGTCTGAAATGAGCAAGTCGTGATGTGGGTCAGAAGTCAAGTTTCGGTCAAAAACATGTTTATCGGAACGAAATGTCATGTTTAACTTTTTCAGATAGATAGAAGGAGACTGGCTCCTAAAAGTCTCTCATTTCTTCAAAACATCTTTCTGTCTGTTCTTAAACATCTACGCTTTCTCCTTGACTTTTAATGACCCTCTTACGTCACTAAGACCACACCCCTGTTGGTTCTTTCAACCAATCAGGAAGTTCTCAGAGGAACCGGAAGTGACCTCTTTAAAAGGGTCGACACTTCCTAGTTCCAAGCAGAACGCAGAACGCAGAACAAGAGTTCCAAGCTGAACAACGTTCCAGAGAGAACCAGAGTTCCAGGGAGAACCTCGAACGAGAAGTTCAGAAGAACAGAAGTTCGAGCAGTTTCTAATGGAATGACCAGAGTCCGTCGATGCCACGACGTCTCGCTGTGGCTACTCGACGAACGCTCTGAACAATGAAGAAGTCTGTTCTGTGATGATCTCACGACTCCTGAGGACACAGCTGTTCTTACGGAGACGCTGAAAGGTGGCTTGAAGTGGAACTTTACGCCGGAACTGAAATATCTTCAGAAAGGTAAAAGAGTCGATCTTCAACTACCAGTGTACCGTGGATTAAGCTGCGCTTCAAGGGAGCGTGTCGTTCTGGTCTACAGACCTACATCTTCATCCATCTTTTCCTCTCCATTTAAACTTCATTTTCCCATCTTTAAAACTCTTCTATCTGCCAGTAATTAATCCAGATATTTTCAGAAATGTCTGTTGTATTTCAGTTGCAAGTGAAAATCATGGCCGTATGATTTTCTCATTGTAAAGCTCATTAATTACGCAGTGTTATTGAAATCAATCTGCCAATTATTGTAAGTGTGTGATGTGTTTAAATCGTTTTTAATTAAACGGCTCACTGTTGTTGGTGAGTCAGAAATTAAAACACGTTTCCGTCTACATTTAATCATTCAAAACACGATAGAACTCAGTCCAGAAAAATGAAAGAATCCGTTTAAATTATGGATAATATCTGACAGATATTATTTCATTACAGTATCTATAACATCTCTTAATGAAATGAGGATAACGAGTTACAACAACAAATAATTTCCCTTTGGGATTAATAAAGTATTTTTGAATTGAATTGAATTGTAAGAGGGGACAATTGAACACAGAGGCCTCCACCACTGTTTAATGATGGAAAAAATTTTTTTCACAAAGATGGCCTCCTTTACTCCTCTCTCAAACCATCGTTCCTCTCTATCCAGGATGTGAGCATCTTCATCCCTGAAAGAGTGACCATTGGCCTGGAGATGAGTGTAGGCCGCAGAGTCCTGCCTGATGGTGTTGATCTTCCTCCTTTTCACCTGTTGGCTGACTGGAGTCCTGTTTGGGTTTCTTCTCTGCTTTCAGGAAGGCCCAGTTAGGATATCCATATTGCTCTAGAACCTGTCTTGCGTGGGATTTCTCCTTCTGCCTGGCTCCTGAGTTAGTGGGGACGCGGTCTGCTCTGTGGTACAGAGTCCTGATGACTCATATCTTGTGCTCCAAAGGGTGATGGAAGTCAAACTGCAAGTACTGGTCTGTGTGGGTGGGTTTATGGTACACCTCAGTTTGCAAATGTCCTCTATCAGAAACTGAGACCTCACAGTCCAAGAAAGCCAGCCTGACATTTTTTACATCTTCTCATGTGAATTTCATATATTTATCCACAGAGTTGATGTGGTCAGTAAAATGTTGGACTTCCTGAGATTTAATTTTAACCCAGGTGTCGTCAACATACCTGAACCAATGACTTGGTGGTGTCCCTGAAAAGGACGTCAAGGCTCTCTTTTCTACCTCCTCCATGTACAGGTTGGCAACAATAGGAGAAACTGGAGACCCCATGGCACACCCATGTTTCTGCCTATAATATTGCTCCCCATATGTGAAGTGGGTTGACTGCAGGCACAGTTTCAAGAGTTAACACAGTTGTTCTGTGGAAAGCATGGTCCTGCTGCTCAGAGTAGTGTCTGATTTTAACCTTAAACTGACCACCTCTACTGCCTCATCAACATGAATGCATGTAAAGAGTGATGTGACATCAAAAGAGACCATTGTTTCATCATTCTCCATGAAGACATCCCTCACCTTATCCACAAAGTCCATGGTGTTCTGTATGTGATGTTCTGAGCTGCCAACTAAAGGGATGAGTACAGATGCCAGATATTTGGAAACATTGTAAGTGACATCCAAAAAAGCTCAATCTGGTCCTCTGGACATTCAAAAAAACAAAAAACAAAACAAAGCAAAAAAATATAGAAACGTTTCGTCTCTCATCCAAGAGACTTCCTCAGTCTGAGGTGCTGTTTTCAGCTCAGTCTCTTAAATAGCACCTTCTCAGAGTGGTTCAACCAGTTTGCTGCTGACAACCAAAACCAGCTGATCACATGCTCAAGAAGGGCCATCAGCCTAACAATGGATCATTAGCACACTGATGGCTGCTTACTATTCACAGAGGGCTGAGTGATACTAGCAATCACAGCATTGTAAGAGGGGGACAGTTGAACCCGGAGGCCTCCACCCCTGTTTAACGATGGACGATTTCTTTTCACAAAGATGGCCTCCTTTACTCCTCGCTCAAACCATCGTTCCTCTCTGTCCAGGATGTGAACATCTTCATCCTTGAAAGAGTGACCGCTGGCCTGGAGATGAGTGTAGACCGCAGAATCCTGGCCTGATGATGTTGATCTTCTGTGCTGGGTCATCCTTTTGGCCAGTGGCTGTTTAGTTTCCCCGATGTAAGACTGATCACAGCCCTCCTGACACTGAACAGCATACACAATATTACTCTGTTTGTGCCGGGGGACTGGATCTTTGGGATGAACCAGTCTTTGCCACTCATGCTCAATGCTGTGATTGCTAGTATCACTCAGCCCTCTGTGTCAGCAGAGTTGGTTGGTTGTCAGCAGCAAACTGGTTGAACCACTCTGAGAAGGTGCTATTTAAGAGACTGAGCTGAAAACAGCACCTCAGACTGAGGAAGTCTCTTGGATGAGAGACGAAACGTTTCTATATTTTTTTGCTTTGTTTTGTTTTTTGTTTTTTTGAATGTCCAGAGGACCAGATTGAGCTTTTTTGGATTTTTCTACCTGGATTATTGAGCATGCATCAGGATATTGTAAGTGACAGTTAATCATGCTAACAATTGGTCTTAAAGGTACACCTTGTTTGTGGATTTTAGGTAATATTATAGGCAGAAACATGGGTGTGCTATGGGGTCTCCAGTTTCTCCTATTGTTGCCAATCTGTACATGGAGGAGGTAGAAAAGAGAGCCATGACGTCCTTTTCAGGGACACCACCAAGTCATTGGTTCAGGTATGTTGACAACACCTGGGTTAATATTAAATCTCAGGAATTTCAACATTTTACTGACCACATCAACTCTGTGGATAAATACATCAAGTTCACACAAGAAGATGAAAAAAATGGCAGGTTGGCTTTCTTGGACTGTGAGGTTTCAATTTCTGATAGAGGACATTTGCAAACTGAGGTGTACTGCAAACCCACCCACACAGCCCAGTATTGGCAGTTTGACTCCCATCACCCTTTGGAGCACAAGTTAGGAGTCATCAGGACTCTGTGCCACAGAGCAGACAGCGTCCCCGCTAACTCAGGAGCCAGGCAGAAGGAGAAATCCCACACAAGACAGGTTCTAGAGCAATGTGGATATCCTAACTGGGCCTTCCTGAAAGCAGAGAAGAAACAGGACTCCAGTCAGCCATCAGGTGAAAATGAGGAACCCAGACCCAGACCAGTGGTCATTCCGTATGTTGCGGGAGTATCAGAGAAACTGAGACGTTTATTTTCTCAACACAATGTCCCAGTGGCTTTTAAACCCCAAAATACATAACGGCAAAGGCTGGTTCATCCCAAAGATCCAGACCTCCGGCACAAACAGAGTAATATTGTGTATGTTGTTCAGTGTCAGGAGGGCTGTGATAAGTCTTACATCGGGGAAACTAAACAGCCACTGGCCAAAAGGATGGCCCAGCACAGAAGATCAACATCAACAGGCCAGGACTCTGCGGTCTACACTCATCTCCAGGCCAGCGGTCACTCTTTCAGGGATGAAGATGTTCACATCCTGGATAGAGAGGAACGATGGTTTGAGAGAGGAGTAAAGGAGGCCATTTTTGTGAAAAGAAATTGTCCATCATTAAACAGGGGTGGAGGCCTCCGTGTTCAATTGTCCCCCTCTTACAATGCTGTTATTGCTAGTATCACTCTGCCCCTTGTGAATAGCAAACAGCCAACAGTGTGCTAATGATCCATCATTAGGCTGAATCTACTTTATTCTCGTAAATTAAGACTTTATTCACATAATATTATGACTTTATTCTTGTATTGTTTCTACTTTATGCTCATAATATTATGACATTATTCTCGTAATATTACAACTTTATTCTCGTAATATTATGACTTTATTCTTGTATTGTTTCTACT